AAAAAAGTACTCCAGAGTGTTGTTCAGCATGGGGGTGAGTAGAAAATGAAGGCTAATCATGTTTTGGGTGTACTATTCCTTTAAGGTGAAGCCTGTTGGTCCTGGGGTTTGCTGGGTTCGGGGGGTGACCCTGAATAAAAACAAACCTTATTCTAAATCATTAGTACCTGCATATACAAAGACTCTATATTGTCGGTTATAAACGGCAGGAGAGGACTTCCAATAAAATGTTTCACCCCCTCTTTAAACTCCAGTTTTCTCCTAATGCGTCCATCAAGGAGTCGGAACCAACCGGCTGGTACCGGTTCATTTCAGGGATTAACTTTAGTAAAGGAGGATGTTTGTAGGAACGTGCCGAGATGTTAGAACCTCCTCTGGGTTCTGCTGAGCTTTGGCCTCGCTGTGGAGGTTTAGTTCGGACCCAGAACAAACCGAACTCTAAAAACCGTCTGATGTAGAAATTGGAGCTGTATTTATGCTTCTTTTTTCCTATAGCTTCACTTTTTATGTTTTTTTGTCTTTGAATTGCTTCTGGTTTTTTTTTCCCTGTTTGTCTTTCTGCAGCAGATTTTAATCGTTACTGTTGTCCCTCTGAGTCTTTTCAGCAGCTCTTTGTTGTTGTTTTTTTTGAAGGCAATAGTAATCATCATGATGGCTGTAATAATGTAATAACCATGCTGCCGTCGTCATTGGAGATGAATGTTTCTTTAGAAACAGCCGCCCCTTAGTTGTGCTTCAGGATCTTCTGAAGCCTCTTTGTTGTCGGTAGCTGATCTATTTTTACCAACTTTTTGAGCGTTTCTATTTCGGTCCGCTCCCTGCAGGTCGATTTGATTTGCTCTGCGTTGTGGTGAGTGTGGATTGAGAGAGGAGGACGAGGCCAAAAGGGGAGCGTAGCTGGAAGTTCTGTACATTAGACTCTGCAGGCGGCTGGTCGGCACTTTAATATGTAGATCAGATGGATGGAGATGTATGCGCCAAGAAAGTTGGATTAATTAACCTGAGGTCCTTTTTGGATCCTTATCAGCTTCCATGGGTCAAAGTTCTTATATATATTAATTTTTCCGCGGATTTATTGGCTTTTCTTTTTTAAATGTTTCCAAGCAGAATCTTTTCTTATGACCAGAAGCGTCCAATCAGACCATCCGTGTACCCGAGCTGAGTCCCTGTCTGATGGGTCTGATCTGAATCCAGGGCCGCATGGGGTTAAAGGTCAGGCTGAAGGCGTCGGGGTGATCGGGGGTGAAGTGGTCGTGTTAAACCAGCAGCTGTAGATCAGCTCTCTGCTCTGACAGACGCTCTTTGATCGGCTGTCGCTGCATTTAATTCCTTCTTGAGAGTCGGCCGTTGCCGGGCAACAGAGGGGCCTCATCTTCTGTTAGTTTCTGTTTTTCCACATGATCTTCTGTGCTGCTGACCCACAACCCCTGATCTTCCTCCTCCTCCTGACGCCTGCTTTCCTCTCTTTCTAGCTTTCACTTTTCATCCTCTTCTCTTTCTGAGGATCTAATGAAACCTTCAGGGTTTCTGCTGAATGGAAAAGTTTTGGATTTAACTTCAATCTTTTCCAAGTCTGGATAAGGATGGAGAGAAGAAATAAAAAAGAGAAAAGCATTTTTGATATCCTAATTATCCGTTTCGTACTCTAAACATTTTTTAAAACGTATTCTCTCACATCTCCTCAGCTTCTACCCTTGAAAACAACATGAACGTGAATATCTATCTTTACCAACCGTAACCCTTCTATAGAGAGGAGGAGCTCTGTCTGCACAGACAGGCTAGCTAACGTGGCTCTTTGCCGTTTATTTTCTTCCCTACAAAAAGCTCTGGCGTCCCCCTGCTAAGGCTTGTCCCACTCTTTAGATTTTATTCCCCATCCTTCACTCTAAAAACCTTTTCTGGCCTTTAGTGCTTCCTTTCCTTCCAGCCTTGCCGTATTTCCTTCCGTGTATCCTTGCTTCCTTCCTTCCTGCAGCATTGTAAACATAATTGATCCAAAATGTGAAAGAGACCAAATGCACTAAAATAAACTTATAAAAAGAAATGATCAGTACATAGATTACTTAATAAATTTAGGGAGGTGAATCCAAACGGTGACTTAAAGGAGCCATGTTCCGGAGGACCTCAGGTTTTCTGGGAGTTGAAACATGTCTGATGAGAGAAGGTCTGGATGGTTCATAGGTGGGAGGAACTCTGAAGATCAATGACGAGATAGAAAAACTGTCTCCTCCTCCAAGCAGGTAGCCAGAGGATGGAGGTTAAAAGATAAACCGGATTGTTAATGTTCATGCTGGAGCTTTAATGTTGCATTTTATTATAAAGAAAATAGAAAATAACTGATAAATTCCCATGAAGCTGCATGTTCACCCGGTTTATTTAAAGAGAATTGTTCCACTAGTTTGTCCTCTTTCTTTAAATACATTGTTTTAGTTCATGGAAAGAGTAGAAATAGTGAAGCTCCTTTTAAATTAAGAGCCTGTTTGACCTTTTTTAAGCTAGAGATGAATAAGAGAGATAAGTCATGTATTTTTCTTTCTCTGTGTTCAGAAAAAGGTGGTGGAACAGCTAAGAAAAGAGCTGCTGGTGAAGCAGGAACCAGAGGCCAAACTCCAGCTGCAGGTCCAGGCTGCTCCCGTAGGGGGCGACCTGAAGCCGGCCAACCTGCTGCAGAGCCAGCAGATCCCTGGAGGGCTGCAGCAGGTGGGTCACGTTGCTCCCTGTGGTCCGACTCGCCGTTCAGCAGCCGTCTCAGTCTGTCTTCTCCCTGAACAGACGCTGACCGTCACACCGGTCCTCACCGCCAAGACTCTGGTGCTGAAAGCCGCCGCCACGCCCGCCCTGCCCGGCGCCATCCTGTCGCAGCGCCCTCCCACCGTCGCTATGGTAACCACAGCTATCACCAAACCCGACTCGCAGAGCGTCCCCATCAACCTGCAGGTGGCCAGCAGACTGACCAATCAGAGTGCGGAGCCCGTCCGACTGGTCTCCAAGAACGCCGTGGTGGTAAGTTCCTCCGACGCCAGCCGGGCATCCAGCTGCTCCAGAAGCGCTTCTGTGGTGTCGGGGAAACGTTCTGCCAGGCTGTGGTGTGAGTGGTGGCCTTTCAGCAGCTGGCAGTGATCTCAGAGAACGGTGCGAACACGGACGCCACCGTGAAGTGGGCCTCGATGCGGGCAGGAAGGTCCGCGCTCTCACTCTGATCTTGATTTTAAAACGCAGATCTCAGAGGAAAGGTTCGTTCATCAGCTCCACGTTAAGAACAGACAAAAACAATACAATCTTTTTAATTTTTTCCATGGAGCAGAATCCAAAGCTCTGAACAACCTTCCGACCAATCAGGTTCCGCCTTTTTTTTCCCGATGCAGCAACTTTACTTCAGACTCTCTGCCCCGCCCCGACAGAAACGGACATCACATGTTTGGAGACGTTAAAATCGGCTTAGTGTGGCATACATTTGAATTCAGCCACATTTACCGTCATCCTTCTATATAAAATGGCGGTGGCTTTAACAATGATTGATGAAACATCAGAGAAAATGAAGAACGAGCAGCAGAGCTACGGGACTGAAATCAAAGTTAAATCAGGGTTAGTTTGTAAAATGATAAACTCTGTTCAGGTCATCATCTAAAGATGAAGTTATGAACCAAGTAGACTGACGGGCTGAGCAAAGACAACGTTAACCAGTTTAGGAGGTCATGCTAACTCCTCAGAGATCCTCAGAAGTTCCTGTCAGATCAAGATGGAGGGCGATGATGCTGTGTTCCTGAGCAGGTGTGTTCCATCCAGGGTTGCAACTAACAAATATTTTGCAAGTTGATTAATCTGTCAATAATTTTTTTCAATTAATCGATTGATGATTGGATAACCAAAGGTTCCTTAAAGAAGATATTTTATGTAATTAAACCTTGTGAAAATAAAATGTTTCCACTTCAGGGAAAATTTTTTTTTTTTATCTTGAATGCAAAATTTTTATATATTTTTTTCACAATTTTGATATAATTATTGCTCTTAGAGGGTCACTCTGTCAGCTAAAGGCCTATTTTACAGTTTCTATACTCCAGGGAACGATTAATCGATAACTAAATTAGTTTACGATTATTTTTATAATCGATTATTCCGATTAATTGTTTCAGCCCTAGTCCCATCCCAGCCCCCGTAGAGCCTGAAGGAAGTGATAAATCGGGACAGTCTAGCCTTCAGCGGCTGTCCCGCCCCTAACTTTGGTTGCCTAGCAACCGACACAGCAGGAGGCCGTGAAGCCATTGGATGGTGGCAGCTCGTGCTTATGGGGTCAGGGCTGCAGATTTCTGTGTTGTGATGATTTTCCGAAAAACGTTTGGGTTGGAAAATATAGAAACCAATGGGAATTAATAGAACAAATCATGTTTGTGTGAAAAATATAGTAGTCAATAGTCAAGAATTATCAGATTTATGAACGTTTGCTTTATTTTTTAATCCACAGTATTTAGTATTATTTTTGGGTGGATCCCAACTATTATATGCTCTGATTATTATTATTCAATGTTTGAGGAACCATTGCACCGTAGCTCTAAGTGTTTGAAGATTAGCTGATTATTCATCTCCTAATGTAAATCCAATTATCTTTTTTTTTTAATTTAGTTTAAGACAAGATTTAGTGAAAAACATATGAGTGAACCAAGCTTGAACACTTCAGTATCATCAGAATGACTCGTGTGTTTAACACCCAGCAGGCGGTTCAGATTAGTGAGCTGGGATTCGGGCGGCTTTGTGTCAGAGCTTTGCCATATCTGGCTGCCATTGCTGCCAGTGCTTGACCAATCTACTTCAACCCGCACTGAATCATGGGAAACAATGGGCCATGAAGGATACCTGATAGGTCCTTTAGATCGGCCAAAGAGGACTGATTTCTGGATCGGTACGGTTTTGGGTGCGGCGCTGTGGCGTTACTGGTCTACCAAGGATGCAGCCGCTGAATTGGTGGCGACGGTGTCATGCTGTGGGATGACTCTCTTCAGCAGCCGACTTCATGGGAGGGCAATATAATGTCCAGAACAAAATCCAATGCAGACTTAAAAACTTTTGTTTTGACCTTTTCTAATCTAAATTATTTATTTTTTATTTGATTTTTAGATTTTTTTTTCTAAGGAATAGGGGAAGAAAAACACTGTGATCCGTATTTGTGAGAAGTAAACTAGTCTGAGTGGCTGAAGACAGATGAACATCCGACTAAAAGGTTTTCTTGGACACTTTTCCTAAAGTTAAATTATAGTTTACTTTTTTATTCCAGTAAAATACATTAAATTTGTCGTATCAACATAAAAACTCTCAAAGGATACGATTCAATTTCAGTTTCTGAAAACCCTGCTGGTTTAGTTCTGTACGGTGCAGAGGTTTCCGCAGTGGACGGACGGCGTCGGTCGGGTTGATCAGAACCAGCTGTGTGGTTGTCAGGTCCACAGACCCACGTTGTGCTGTGGTTTTGTCTCAGCTGCAGGCCACCACCACGTCCGCCCAGCCAATCAAAGTTCCTCAGTTTGTCGCTCCTCCTAGACTGACGCCTCGGCCCACCTTTCAGCCACAGGTGCGTCCCTGAAGCCCCGCCTCCACACCCTGACCTCCCCCCTCCCCCTCTCCGACCAATGTGTGTGGCCCTACCTGAGGTGTTGTGCTCACTCTCCAGCAGAGGGCAGCAAAGCAAACACTCCTGCCTTGCTCCGTGGCACTAAAACGTTGTTTTCTCTGTGCCGCCTCATTCCTTCTCCTCATGCTGTGCTTCTTTTGGTTTTTATCTAACTGACCCATGAACAGGCGGCTGTTGGGGTGTCCCGCCTCCCTCTGACTCTCTGTGTGTGTTTGTGTGGACCTTATTGTGATGAAGGTTTGTTCTCCTGCAGCTTCTTGGTATTTTCAGTTTCTGGCTGTCTGTGTGTTTTAACCCTGGAAGTCGAAGCGGAAATGTTGGCAGATGTTTGAGCTGAGTAACGCCTCTGAGAGTCGCTGCGCCCCCTGCTGTCTGCAGCTGGAACTCCAGGAGCTGCTTAGGCACCAGGGCGTCCGACATCCTATCTATTTATCCTTTGATAGGGACAAGCAGCTCAGTCTTGTTTCACTGATTGGCACTTTGGTTGCTATGGTTATCCAAATATGTAAACAGCTGATTGATGCCCAGTTTCTATCACAGACGGCCAAAACTGGGGCTTAAACGTAGATGGGTTCAGAATATGTTGACAATAGGAAAGGCTGACAGAGTATTTCAGAGTACTTTGTTTTTCCTCACAGGGAGGCCATCTGCTGAATCCTCTGGAAGTAGATTTCAGGAGCAGCAGCTTCAGTAGTGGCTGGTTTGGAGAGGCCTCAGAGTCGTTACCCAGCCCTGTCTGATCTCTAAATGTACCGTCCTCTGACTGGTTGTTGTCATTAACAGGTCAGGCCGAGGCTGGCCACGCCCACCAACGTCCCCATCGCTCCAGCCCCTCCCCCTCCCATGATGGCGGCTCCCCAGTTGCTTCAGAGGCCCGTCATGTTGGCAACCAAGCTGGCGACCTCGCTGCCTTCGGCCGCTCCAATCCACCAGGTCCGCATCGTCAACGGGCAGCCCTGTGGCAAGACGGGCTCTGCCCCTCTGACCGGCATAGTCATCACAACGCCCGTCACCGCCACCCCCACACGGCTCGCCAGCCCCGCCCAGGCGCTTACTAACACCGCTCCTCTCCCGACTCCACCCCCTCCAGCCCCGCCCATCCAAATTAGCAGCTTGATCGTTGAGCCGAAGGTAAGAACATAAATACTACCTGATTGTTTGGGATGAACAATACACGTATAACCTTGTTAATAACTAGGCACTGAGAACTATAGGGGTACTCTTTAGGTACTAATCAGGTACTATGTTGGTATTATTGGGTACTCTTCAATCCAGATTATTTATATATGTCCAATTCACAACACCTCATATCAGCCTCCTGCTGAGGCTGACTGGGGTTCGGGGAGACAGAAGCAGACATAGAAAAGGAACATAGAAGCACTGATCTATAAATACTAGGGGTGGAACGGTTCACAAAATCCACGATTCGGTTCGGTTCACGGTTTCGTGGTCATGATTTTCGGTTCGGTATATGTTGATTGTTAGCCTGACATGTTGGTCGTGTTGCTGTTAGCATAAACAAAACGTGTTGCACAATGCTTGCACACTGTTGCACTTTTATCCACTTTCTTTCCGCCGTCATCGTAGGTCACTCTAAATGCAAAGTGGTCCCATACAGCAGACCTATAAAGTGCTGCTGGCGCGTCTTCCAACTCCTGTTCTTTCCCACTCGCCATACCCACACAATTCTCCACAACAACTGATTTTTTTTCTGCTACACCCGGCTAAGCTGCTTCGCTTCTTCTTCTTGTTTACTACCGGTGGTTGGCTTTGGTCGCAGTACCGCCACCTTCTGCTCTGGAGTGTAAACGCTTCGTCTATGAGAAAAAGGAGCAGCGCATAAACCGAACACAACTCGCGCAATTCGAACCGAGACAGTCGAACCTTTTCTAATATAGAAATACTTTCTATATTAGAAAAGGGAATAGTAAGCCAGCTCCACAGGTGGCTCTGTCCGGTACAGTTAAGTAGCTCTGAGACAGTTTTCATGCCACAAGGATGAAAGAGAAAATTTAGCCACAGTAAAAGCTGAGCCCACAGATATAGGAGCGTAAATGGACTAAACACTGAAAAATCTAAGGTGTGGATGGCAGCAGCACAGCTGACATTTTTCTCCAGGAAGGAGTCACAGTCAATCAAGAAAATACGAGATGAAGCTACTATGATGAGCTAAAGCAGAGAGAGCATAAACTTAGAGATTGGACTAACAAATACTCTAGAATGGGAGATGCAAAATGATGAAAAGGGGTCCCTATGTCCTCCAGCAGTCTAAACCTATTGCAGCATAACTATAGAGATAGTTCAGGATAACCAGAGTCAGTCTATCAGCTTTATCGAAAAGGAACGTTTTAAGGCTACCCTTAAAAGTAGACATGTCAGCAGTCTATGTGCTACTTGACAACAATACAGGTAAAAAAAAAACCCCACCAATATCAGCCCAAATTATCCACCAGTCGATGTATTTGTTTATGTTTGAGCTTGTCACATTTTATTTTATATAATGAGTTTATAAATCATAGTTCTTCAGTGTAGCCCAGGCTAACGGTGGCAGCTAGCTTAAAGCTTGTAGCTTCTCCTCTTCCTCTGGTTAACCTCCAGCAGCTCTATACATCTCTCCAAACCTTAACCTGTTGTCACCTTCCTCCTCTTCCTTCAGCAGACTGTTAAACTGGAAACAGCGGAACAGAAAGCTGTGGTCAGCCTGCCGTCCTCCTCCACCCCTCCACTGTCTCCGCCCCCCAGACCCAAAAAGGAGGAGAACCCAGAGGTGAGACTAGCTGAACATCTCTGCATTGAGCATCCTCTCTAAAGAAATCACTGTTATAGTTTCTGCTTAATCACGTTGTTAAGAGTCACCTTGATGATCAAACATGCAGGTGGATCAGTTTCCTGACAAACCTCGGTTCCAAATACTATTTACTGCTGGTTTGGGTTCTTTAGAAGCGTAAATGTTGTGTTTATCAGAGGGCTGATGAGCTAAACTCTGCTCCTCTTTTAGAAACTGGCCTTCATGGTGTCTCTGGGCCTCGTCACACACGACCACCTGGAAGGTGAGAGATGCACCGATTGGCTGCAGAAAGCAAATCTTATCTGCTCTGAAACCCCGGTTTCTGTTCTCGCAGAGATCCAAAGCAAACGGCAGGAGAGGAAGAGGAGAACGACAGCTAACCCGGTGTACAGCGGAGCTGTGTTCGAGCCCGAGGTACGACCGCCTGGAGTTCAGCTGGACGTGGAGCGTGGAAGTCTGCTCTAATTCAGGCTTTTTATTCGAATGTCGTTAACCACTCGGTTCTTTTGGTTCTGTTGCAGAGGAAAAAGAGCGCAGTGAGCTACCTGAACAGCCCTCTGCACCAGGGGACCAGGAAGAGAGGTCTGTATGAAACCCAGAGGCTGTCAGTCAGTCTGATCTGAAGTCTGTAGAGAAGAACTGGAGCCAGCAGACCGAGCTGCTCCTCTAATAACACGCCATCTAACAACTCCTGCTCTCCTCTGCTGCTTCCTGTCGCTTCTTTCACGTTTCCTTTGTCAGAGCTTCTCCTTCACCCACCTCAGAGAAGTCAGGCTCTTTGTGCCGTAGTTCACAGAGAGCAATTTGAGTCAGAACGAGTTCTTATTGATGTTGTTCATCAGGGCGTCTTATTTAAGCCCAGAGCGCCTCAGGGAGCTCAACGAGGAACATTCTAAAGCTTGGTTTATGCTTGATGTGTCCACGAGGTCTCCGCCGCCAAAATACATCATTTTGAGCTTCCATGCCCCTCCATGTGGAGTACCTAGGAAAATTTGTAACAATTTGAAGGATCTGCACGGAAAACACGGCGAGGGGCAGCAGCTCCAGCTAGTGCACAAATGTAAACATCTACAGACATCCCGTCATTTTAGCTTATAAATATCACCACTATCAACACATTACGGAAAAAGTCCAGGAAATAAAAATGAAGCATTTATTTCTCAAACGGCATGAAGAAGCTTTGATAAAGATGTAAACGGCACTGATTTCTACTTCCTCCTGTAGTGTGGTGTTGTCGGTTTGCTGTTTGTGCTGAGAAAGCCTCCTCACAGCCGGCCAGAACGGGGAAAGCCCCACAGAGTATAAATGTTGCAGACGCTTTGACCATCGCCTCATGTCCGCGCGTCAAGCATAATAAGCCTTTCACCAGGTGGCGCTATGCGTGCCAGGTGTAACTTAAGGGTGTGGATCTGGAATGCGCATCGATAAAATCCAAAATGTCTCTCTGTAAAAAGTTCTTCAGTTCCTTTAGTCTCGTAGCACGGTGTGCGGATGTTCAGGGGTCTGAGCACTTTATGGAGAACAGGGCTGGTCTGTTGCCTGCTGGGACCCAAGCAGCCTCCTTTCCCTGCAGCGGCGTGTTGATCTTACAGCCGGGCCTGATGGCAGCGTTACTTCATTTCTGAGGTAGACTAGGTTCCGCTGCCACATCCGGTATAAACCAGTTTAAGCTGATTTGCCCTTAAGAAAAACACCTGGGAACTGTGCGTCTCCATCATGGAGGAGGCCGTCAGGCGACGTTCTTGGTTCATCTGAAAACTTCTTTTATCCATAAACCTTTAAACCTGAAGCGTTAAGCAGCCGTCTGCTCATCGTAGAGTTCCCAGGTGTGTCTGCGTGGCTGGGAGCAAACCTGCCCTGACATCACTGGGGTATATAAGGAGGCCCGGTCCGGCTTGCTGTGGTGGGATCAGTTTGGTTCTGGAGCTCTCTGACAAACGACCAAAAATCCAGTTTAACCTTTAATACTGATGCATCCTGAGATCCTAACGAAGCTCTAGTTGCTCTAATTCTGGATAAGGTTTGGTGTCTGGTGTGTGCAGCTGTAACCCGACTAACAGGCAGCTGCTGCTGTAACATCTCACTGATCTACAGCTTCAACATGAGGGGTCTGAGCTTTAATAAACCGAAATTGAGTTGTTTTAACTTCCAAGTCAGACACTAACGCACCTTTAAATGAATCTCAGGTCTCATTTCTGCTCTCGGATGCTCAGCCGAGGTTCTCCCTGCAGCAGCAGTCGTCAGTCAGACTGATGACTGACTGACTCTCCTGCAGCCACATCCTGGGGTTATTTACTTCACTTCCTGTTTGTCTTTTAACTTCCGGCCTCCTCAGGTCTGCAGTCTGGTTCATAGCCTGATGACACCTGAAGTTTCGCTGTTTTCTTTTTGTTTGTTTTTTTTTTGCTGGTCTCTCAAAGGAGTTAACTTCGTTCCTTTAACCAGTGATCCAGGCTGTGATGGGGAACCGCCTCTGTCAGCATCAGGAGATCATCGATCCATATTTGTTGGATACGTCAGGCTCTATCTACACAGTACAGCTGGTTTGTTGGGGTTGTTAATCTGGACAAACTGACCTCTCATTCCTGTGACTCCATCACCTGCTAATGAATGAGGGTTCCTGACGGAGCCTGAGGGAACCGTAGATCCCCACCATCCAGATTAGCTTTGCTCCTTCAAATTTCTCCAGTCTTTGATGGTTTCGAGCAAATGTTTCCATTCTGTCAGACTGACCTTGTCTCACAAACTGGAGATGCTCTGCTACTTTTATAAAAATCCTCTCAATCCTGCTGCTTTGGTGGTTCTGCAGCTTCAATGCAGAAATTGTGGCTTACAGGTAGCCTGATAAACCAGACTAAATTTGAGATTAAATGTGTAATTTAGTTTGGCGATGAATGAGTCATCGGAATAAGGTTGATGAGAACAACCCGTTGCACCATGTCTGTGCCTATTGGCCAACGCTCTGACCAAAGAGCCCAACTGACTGACGTAGTAAGAGCGACAGAAAGCTGGTGGGGGAGTGTAAACAAACAGCCTGTCGGTAAAACGTGTATACGTCCTAATTAAAAATGATGAGCGTAGAGCCTCTTCCTGTTCACGTTTTAACGAAAACCCCACGTCTAATCCTTCCAAAGCTGAGTCAAACAAGAACTGTTCAACAGTTGTTGCCATCTTCCTTGCTGTGTTTTCTCCAGTGTTGCGCGACTTTGTCGTCACGCCCTCCAAACCCCGCCCGCTTTGCATCCGGAAATTTAAAACACATCTCTGCGTCGTGATTGGCCCGCCAGTTCTAGGGCCTAGAGCATTGATCGAGGCTAGACCACTCGCAGGCAAAAATGATTTAGGCCGCTGGCGGGTGGGGCTAGATTACTAGGCTAGCTAACAGGTGGAAATGGAAACGGTCTGTCTTAATGTCAGACAGGAAACCAGTGGAAAACAGTGGCTCTATCCCAGTCAGATCTGGGATTTCCTTTGTTTGGTTTATACCTGGTAAAAGGAAACCTAGCTCCATTATGGATGATGGTTCCAGTGCGGTCCTGTAGAGACCTAGAGCTTCAAAAACGGACCAAACATGACGGACACCGAGAACCGTCTTATCTGTTCTACAGTTCCTTCAAATCAGGGCTGGACCAAAGCAGATCAAAGCAGAACCAAAAAGATGATATCAATCCCTGAGGATTAATGATTTATCAGGGTCAACCTTCTGTTTCAAACATCCAGGTTTTTCTGGGAATGAAAGGAACTTTTTATTCCCTCAGATTATCCTCGTCTGGATCAATAATGTTTCTCTGAAACAGAAAATAACGAAAGTCTGAAACGTGCTGCAGGGGTCAGAACCTTCTGCTGGTCCCGGAGCGTTTCCAGTGACTCCAGACTTCCTGTGGAGGCAGGAAGTTAAAGGGGTGGGGGGGTCTACCTGAGCAGGTGTGCTGGTCTGTCTGAATGCAGTCTGCATGTAGCTGATGTCGTTCACTAACACTGCTGTCTGTGCTTCTGACTCCTCTCCCTCACTGCTCCCTGATTCATGCTAGCCAACGAAGACTCCCTTTCCAAGGTATGTCATACAGACGCTCTGTTTTTTGTCTTCTCCCCCCTCTCCATCTTTCTTTTTTTTTTTTTTTTTTTTTTTTTTTCTTTGTTTTCCGTCTTTGTCGTCTGTCTCATTCCACCCAGGTCGCCCACCCAAATTCAGCAGCGTCACGGAGCTGGGCAGCCTCACCCCGACCTCCCCCTCCAGCCCCGTCCGTCCCCTCCCCCTGCCCAGCCCCGGCTCGGGGGATGTAAGTAACGACGGGGGAGACGGACGCCCCGTCACACGCGGCCCTGCTGAACCCGGCAGCGCCGTCACCCATTCACACACACCACCATCACTTTGTTGTCCATGTGGTAACCATGTGCCATCACTTCCTGTCACTCAGCCTTACAAAGTGAACAGAGTCCATTATAACACACACATGCTAACAGACACACACACGCTGCTAAACGAGACCAGCTGTAACCTAAAACAGATCACGGCCCCGCCCCGCCTCACCCCGCCTCTCCACGCAGGGTGGGAGGGGCTCCTATGGAAACTGATTGGTCCAATTCTTCCTCGCAGGGAGACATCCACGAGGATTTCTGCACTGTGTGCAGACGCAGTGGCCAGTTGCTCATGTGCGACACGTGTTCTCGTGTTTATCACCTGGACTGCCTGGATCCACCCCTGAAAACCATTCCTAAAGGCATGTGGATCTGTCCAAAATGTCAAGACCAGGTAACGGCAGCAGCAGAGCCTGATCCGGGGCTGTAATCTTACGCACTCTTTCAGCTGTAGGACTGTTCAGTACTTTGTAAGCAAACACATGATGCAGGACTGTTTTTTTTGTTTTTGTTTTGTGGTTATGTGTCATTCATTGTGTCACTTAAAGTTGACATCTCACTTCCATCCACTCCATCACCCGCTTCCCCGTCAGTCCCACGCAGCTTTTAGGCCAAGCTTAACTCTTCAGGCCTGTTCTGCGTTTCTCTAACACCTCTGATCGTCTCCCCTCAGATTCTGAAGAAAGAAGAAGCCATTCCCTGGCCCGGTACCCTCGCTATCGTTCATTCCTACATTGCCTACAAAGAAGGTGAGTCTTCCTTCTGGCCCGCATCATCCTGGATGTGTGGGGAGGGACTGACCCCCCCCCGTCTGCTCTGTGTTCCAGCTAAAGAAGAGGAGAAGCAGAAGCTGATGAAGTGGAGCTCAGAGCTGAAACTGGAGCGGGAGCAGCTAGAACAGAGGGTCAAACAGCTCAGTAACTCCATAACGGTGAGAAGCAGCAAACTGGATTATGATCGTTTTGAAAAACAACCTTCAGCGGCCTTAATAGCCATCAGTCCGCCCCCGCCGTGCTTGACACATGGTACGAGGCGTTGGTGCTCCAGTGCTGCACTTTGGTCAGACATCTTTTCTCTGGTCTCATCAATGCTCAAGTACTGTTCTTCATTCACATGCAGCCTTGCAGAACCTGAGTTCTTGCGTCCCGATCCGATACACATAGGAGGATGGGAACATAAAGGCCCCCTTCTAAAACCTCCAATATAAGGATGCTGATGGAAAAACACTACAGTTTAACGACACTGTAACCCATGGATCAGTTGTTTTTAGATGTTGATGCTGAAAAACCCTTTTCTACTATGTCACACTACCAGTTCAAACAAACATGTGTATATATATATATATATATATATATATATATATATATATATATATATATAAAATAAAGTCGCAATATTATTATTTGACTTTATACTCATAGTATTATGACTTTATCCTCGAAATGAAAAATGAAAAAAATAAATAAAACTCAAACATGGCCCTTTTACTCTGTTGTACCTCAGGTTCTACTTTGTACTAAAGTAGAAAAAGTGAAAGAAAAATGCCTTAAATGATAGCTCATAACTACTCTTATAAAACATAACATTTCTGTGAAATGAAAATGGATAAATTACATAGAAAAATACAGGATCCTTCTAGGTTTTATTTCTAAATTAAGCTTTTCAGGGGGAGATCGAATTGATCTGAAGTCCTGCATGAGTATCAAAGCTGCATCTAGAGTAAAAATTGAAGCAGAACTTGAAACATATTCAACGTGTAAATCTGGAATCTAAGAGGGAACCGAGGGAGAATGTCTGTGTCTCAGAATCTGATCCATCAATGTCTCCACCCTCCTGTCTCCATTAATGTCTGTGTTTTTCTATTAACTCGGCTCAAACTGCACAGATTCTCTTCTTGATTTCCCCGTTTAGTTGCAGCTTCTTCATCATTTGTAATCAGCTATGTAATTAGATATTAGTGAAACCTAAATACTCAAAACAAAGATCATGTACTGGATAGAGCTACTTAAATTCATGAATAAGGTTAAGCATTTAGACTGGAGGCCAGAGAGTCTGAGATGGAGCTGCTGCATATTTCCCTCCTGTGGATGCGGTGACTATGCTGAGGCGTCGGCTCCCAGCAGCATCGACACGTTGTCCTTACTGGACATTATCTGTCTTAGAGGCAGTGAAAGTACATCTTATTATATCCTGATGTGTGAAATCTCCTCTCTGCAGAAATGCATGGAGACCAAAAACAGCATCCTGGCTCGTCAGAAGGAGATGCAGCTTTCCCTGGACAATGTCAAGCATCTGATTCGCCTCATCCAAGCCTTCAACTTTAACCAGGCGCTGGCAGAGACGGAGGGGAAGGATGTCCGGGTTCAGGGCGGAGCTCAGGCTGCAGCCGAGGTCGGCTCGGTGGAGAAGCAGGCAGTGAGCGTTTCTTTGGTCAGCGGCAAGAAGGAGGAGCAGAAGCCAGAAGGAGCAGCATCGTCGTCATCATCAGGAGGAGGCAAGAGCACAGTCCTGACTAACTGCCCCGTCGCTGTGGAGGGGGCTGCCAAGGGGCCCGGGGCCCACACAGAGACCGCTCCTCGTTTGGAGGGTCAGCTCAAGCCTGAGACTGAGACGGCTCCTGTGGCTCCGGCTGCCGCCGCAACCACCAATGGTACGACGGAGCCGCCGTGCCCCGCCCACAGCCCCGCCGCAGCAGCAGAGAACAAGATGGCCGCCGCCAACCCTGCGGAGACGGCGGCAGAGAAGAACCAGGAGGAGCTCGGCGACGGCGGCAGCAACAACAGCAAAACCTCAGAACCCTCCCAGCATTCTTTGCCAGCTCTGCTCAGCAGTTTGGACGATAAAAAGTAACGCTGCGTCTCCGTGGCGACGGGAAGTCAAACATATATATTAAAAAAAAAAAGACTTTTGCTTGCACCACAGGGTGCCCTGAAGTTGCCAATCTGTATAAATGTTGTTTGTTTGCATCGTATTGTCAGACTGTGTCAATGGTAGATGTACAGCCCAAGTCTTGTGACTCTGGGAAGACCCGGGTCATCAGCCAATTAGCGATAGACGTCACGGCGGGGACGCTCGGACGAAGAGTTTCTTCATCATCACACCGGTGTGTGCCTGTTACAGTGGCCCCTGTGTTCTGTTGACGACTCTGAGTAGGAACCCAGAACGTGGAACCAAACATCCATCAGGGGAGCTGGTCCAAGAAGCAGTGTTGTAAACGTTTGTGTTCTGAAGAGAACCCGTCTGCTGCGGTTCCGTTAAACCCGACGGGAACAACGTTCCAGAGTCCGCATCAAACCGGTAACCAGCACCCCCGGAGTCTGCTCCGATTGGTCCACTGGCCTGATCAGACCCCGCCCACTTCCTGGTTCAAATTTAATTGGATAAAAGTTTAGGTTGGCTATTTAACATATTTTTCTATTTAAATTATGAATTCGCTTCATCTAAGCTGCCAGCCTTACATAGATCTATTGGAGATAGATGTTGCTGATGATCAGGAATATGTTGAAATAAGGTTAGACGAATTGATTACCTTTTACTGTAAATGTAAATCCTTTATTGTCCCACAATAGGGAAATTTATTCTCTGCATTTAACCCATTAAGGTTTAGGGTCTTGCTCAGGGACCCAGAGTGGCAGTGTAGAGCTGACGCACTCAGAGTCTACGTCCGGTTCCAGACATTGAGCCAGAGGGGGCTGGAAGCTGGAACCTTCTGATTCGTCCAGAGAAGGTTCATCCTAAACCATGTTTGCTCCCAAACATCACCGGATCAGTCTCTTAAAGGGAGGTCCGCTATAGATCCAGGGGCGTTTCTCAATATCCGTTCTTGAGCGTTCTCGTGTACTCGTGACACGTCATCAGCCTCA